AGCATAATCAATCATAATAATCATGAGGTATTTATTATTTTATTAAATTAGTAAAAGATAATAACCTCAACATGAGTCTGTTCAATACACAAAGTGTACTAGGGCAATAATCCGAGACATCAAACAATCTCCTATAGTCAAGACAGACTATGCCAAAATATTACACTACAATCATATCGATGGTGTGTCCAATTCCATCTATGATTGTGAACATATACTCATATTATACAAGGATCTAATAATCTGGCCTTTTATGCATAAGCTGAATTCTACACACCAGATTATCTACAATGTAAAACATAAGACACACATGCATATCATATATAAAATATAATACAAACATTTTGCCCATATAGATTCTCAAAAAAATAGAAAGAACAAATTTTTATTAATTAACAAAACGAGTTTCACTACAAAAAATAAACTTTTAGTATACTACTCTATCACTCAGAACCCGACTTAGCCACCAACTTCCTTTTCCCTTTTTCCTCTTTTCACTTATGGACGTCCACCTGCTTGTAGAAGCTACCACTAGGGCTATGGCTTGAGGTGTCCCTTGGCCTCCCTTTGTCCTTTTCATCTTTGCCACAATCATAGAAGTCATGGAGACAGAGAGAACCCAAGCTAGGGGAGTAGCCCCAAAGATATCATCAGAGGGAGTTGGATGCAAAAGTTTTCTTGGAGCCATTTTGAAAATCAAGATCAAGAAGGGAATCCAAGAGAAAGCGAAAATATTTAAGGGTTTGGGGAGGTTAGTCTTGGATTTTCGGCACCTAGGGAGAAGTTTGGAGTTGTGGGTCTCAAAGCTTGGAGTAAATGGAATGATTTCCTATCGACATAAATCCGTTTATTTTTTTTGGACCAAACAAGAACCTACTTGTAGGAAACAACATTCGACCTACTAGTAGGTCAGTTCATAATTTCAATAGTTTTTTCTATTTTTTTATTTTTCTTTTTATTTCAAAACTAATTAAAAACCCTAAATTCTAAAACTTAAAATGTATCCAATAAAGTATTTAATGCTATTCCATCATGCCAAAAATTCTAAGTATATGCAATGCAATTTATGCTACAAAATAACAAATATAATGCAAAGGAATTTAACGCATAATAACCAATCTAATAAAATGCAAAGTCAGAAATACAAAACCATTTTCATAGGTAACATGAATGCATTTAGTTGATGCACTAAGCCTTTAAACCCCTAGGTTACCTTTAGTAGACGAGTTTTATCTCATGAAGGTTTCTAGAGAAGATACCTACAAACTTCAATTTATCTACCCGGAAGTCAATTTGTCGTATCCCTAATCACCATGAGTCTAGGGACACTATATCTACTCAACTAATTGGCACACGGTTCTTCTATAAGCTTAGGGGCTATGCAAGAATATTCACAATCATGTTGATACCCAAAACTCGTATGTGTGTGATATGATCATGCAACTCAAGAGATTCATAAAACAAGATTCATATTCCTATTAGATATCCAAAGCTAGTTTTAATTCTAAAACTCACCAAGATTTTTACACTCAAAATGGGACTCTCTGACTATAGTGACTGTTCCACTTCTTAGTATATGTGAGGATCAAATTTATGTAACCAAAATAACTTATGCATACATATATCTCAAGAATATAAACACAAATCAAATAAAATGACCTTGGCATAATCCCATGGAAGTAATGTTAAGAGACATCAAAGTAATACAGTTAGCATGTCTCATTGGTATTAAAGCTTGAACACTCGTCCACGCCTCTAGAAATCAAATAGGGCTTTCTATGGTTGTAATGAGACTTTGGGTGAAGGTTTAAGAAATGAAGGAATTAAGGATCCAAAAGAAGTTATGCCCTAGATGAATTCAATATTCAACAATTGTACTCTTCTTTCAATACACATCAAACTCATATCCTTCCTTCTTCCTTCACAAGCCTTCGGCTTTCGGCTTTCGTATTTCACATTTTTCTTTTTCTTTTTTTTTTCATACCATTCTTTTCTTGTTCTTTTATCATCTTCTTGTCATTCGTTCATGATTGAACCTTTTACCACAACTCCCAACACATATCAAATAAACACACATCCATGGATAGCCAACGTAAGATATATACTTATATGCTTGGCTTGGTTATTATTGAGGTAATGAAATGAAAACTCATCATGGCTCAATCACGGATACTAGAGATAATGAATTGAAAGAACAAGTTTAAGGCTAAAATAAAATTCAAAGACAACCTAGAATCATCTTTCAGAAAGCATGGAAGAGTGTCGCTTCTAGTTGAGATATAGCTAACTCACTCCTATGCTCCTAGCCAAAGCTAATTACTGGGATTATTGAAAAACAAAGGATTAAGAATGATTTTAATATGAGTACATGTATTATAGCCCTCCAAGAATGATAAGCACAATATTCATAGGGTGTGTTTGGGTAATGGGGTGGGATAGGGTAGGTTTTCTTTTTTTATATCCTAACCAATCCAAGCCAAACCCACTCATCCACTTTAAAACTCTAACCCCAGATTATATCCAATCCTAACCTTTGTTTGGGAAATAAATGTATAATTTAGTGGGCCCCATAGATTACACAAATATATTTGTAGTAGTTTACTATTCTACCCATGACTCTATCCATTCAAATCCAAACCAATCTTATCCTATGTTTGGTTAACCCATTCAAACCTAATAAAATTATACATTTTTCACATATACATAAAAACATATAAAACTAAGGAAAGTTAAATATATATATATATATATATATATATATATATTGTATTTTTTTTTCAAATAAATCAACACTTTATTTTATTTCTTAAAAATTGATTACAATAGGAGAAAGACAAACAACCTTGCCTTAATATGTTTTGACCGGTGGATTATTCTAAGAAAATTATATATTTTTCACATATACTTAAAAATATATAAAAATTATATATGATTTAGACCCCTTGATTAATTTTTTAGTTTTATTTCAATAGATAGTATAATTATATACTAATTATGATTTTTTAAGAAAAAAAAATAAAATTTTATTTCAATAAATAATACAATACAATATGAATTTGATTGTAAAATAATATTTGATATTTTATCTTTGATTGGAGTATGTTTGGTTTAAGTATAATATTTTAAATTTAAGGGGTCTGAGTATTATATACCTACTACAAACTTCAAAGGGATTTAAGTGTAATTTATTAACGAATATATTAATCTTGAGGGGTCTAAGTATTACACTCGTATAAACTTGACGGAATTTGTGTTTAATATCTTAAATATAAGAGGTTTGAATAATTAAATGACAAAATTTAGGGATCTAAGTGTAATTCTCCATAAATAAATCCCTTAAACCCAGAAGCATCCGTCTGCCATTGATGGTCTACACTAGAACCCAGAACCATTCTCCCTAGAACCATTTGTCTGCCATTGATGGTTTGTAACTCCAATATACATCCCACCACCACCATTAAACCCACCATCACTGCCACCAGAACTCACCGTCCCATCTCTCCCACCACCTCCACCTCCACCTCCACCTCCACCTCCACCTCTACTCCCATCTTTCTCCCCTGCAACAGAAACGCCCCCACCACCACCACAATAAAAACACCCACCACCACCACTACCTCCCACCACCACAATTCAATGCTTCCTTCAATTCTAGATCGTATATGGAATCCCAAACAAGGGTTTTGTTCGACTAAGCGCCCTACCCAAACGTACCCAGGTCTGAGTCTTGGACGAGCTCAGCCTCCAATGGAATGAGCTCAACTCCTTCGCGCTCTAATTGACAGGAGAAGAGAGAGGGCAAGAGAAGAGGGGCAAATATGTCTTCGATGGGTTATCCTCTTGCCTGGGTTTGTAACCTGTGGGAGGGGTGGGTTAAGTGTAGCCGGTGTAGGGGGATTAACTGGTACTGTAGAAATTGGGTTAAGCCTGGACCCGAGATTTGTATCCAATCTCAAAAAAGGCTTCCCAAACAAACGTTATCTGGGCCCCACACCTATTTTATCCCATCCAACTAGTGGATAACCACCTTTAACCCATTATCCAAACACCACCATAGGGTTTATACATACATCTCTACTATGGATGCCTAGCTTTTCAGAACATAAATCTAATCTCATAAATCTCAACAGAATTTGCATGCTCATTCTCAATAAAGTTTGAGTTTATAATATGACTTTTTTGTTTGTTGTATAGTAGTTTCAGGCATAGATAATGACTAGTTAGTCAATAGTATAACAATTTATGACCTATGAATATCAAGATTACATACTATAATTGCATTAAAAATACATGAATTATTGGAAGTTAAACCATTTTACCTCTTCAATATTCTCCATTTTCACATAATCCTTATGTACGAAGTAGAAAGGTCTCCATTTTCACTTGCATAATTCATGATTATTTTCATGAACAAAAAACAAAGTGGAGCATTTCACATATGGTTTCAACATTTCAATGGTAATTCACATATAATTTTATGAATCTGTAGAAATCAAAATTTATACTTCGGCGAAATTAACTTTGAATCTGTCTTTAATTTCCTTTTTTTCTTTTTCTTTTGTGCCTGGACACTGTGAATATTGTGGTCTGGCAGAACAGTTTTTTTGATTATTTTTTGGTTAATCCAATAAAATTGCATTCAAGACATTTTAGTGGTAAAAATGGATCCGGATCCCCCTCCATTATCCTTTCCCTTCAATTTTTCTCAATACAGTGCTAAATGACTAACATATGTAAAATTTTGAATTTCAAAGGACAAGATTTTTTTCATGTCAGAAAATTCCTTAATAATGATTAACACTCCACCAACAACAAAATGAATGAGAAAATATCTCATCCATTAAAATTTAAAATTTTACACGTCACTCATCTAGTATTGTATTGAGGAGAATTGAAGGGAATGAGTAATGGAGGGGATTTAAATCCATAAAATTATCTCCATAAGTGTCAATTGTTCTAGTGGGGACAAACTAGATTTGAGAGAGAATAAACAGTTAAAAATGGATTATCCCAAGGGTATGTACCATTTTAAGGCTAATTGGTGTTGTAGATGTTGATGCCTGTATTCTAATTTTTTGTGAAAGCATTATAATGTGATAGGGACTTGGTAAATGTGCCAAGAATTTTGTCAATATAAAGTAAAATAGATTTGGGTGGTGAATTTGAATAGGACTATTTTTTTATTCTTTTGATTGAATTTGGGGTAGTATGTTACGATCAACTATTTTTTAATGTTTTTGAGTTTATTATTTTTCATTGCTTTTGAGTTCACTATTTTTCTCTATTTTTGAGTTTAGTAATTTTTCACTATTTTTGAGTTTACTATTTTTCACTAGTTTTTAGTTTAGTAATTTACTATTTTTCACTATTTTTAAGTTTAATAATTTTTCAAAGTTTTCACTATTTTTGAAATTAGTAATTTTTTACTATTTTTGTATTTACTAATTTTTACTATTTTGAGTTCGGTTATTTTTCATTATTTTTAAGTTCACAAATTTTTCATTGTTTTTGAGTTAATTAATTTTTCATTATTTTTTAGTTTGACTACCTTTTTACTGTTTTGGGTGGTGGGTGGTAATTGGCGACAATGGTGGGCGGTGGTGATTTGCAACGATGGTAGGTTATGGTGGCAATGACAATGGGTGGTGGTGGCGATGGCGATGATTGGTGGTAGGCTAGTTTTTCTTTGTTTTGAGGGTGGTGGTAGTGGGTGATAGGGTAATTTTTTACTATTTTGTGGTGGTGGTGGTGGTGGGATGGTGGATAGGGTGGTGGTGATGGGGTAGTGGTAGAGGCTGTGGTAGTAGTGGATTATGGTGGTGGGCAGTGGGTGGCAGCGATGTTGGATGGGTGGTAGGCTAGTTTTTTACTATTTTTGGGTGGTAGGTTAATTTTTTACTATTTTGAGTGGTAGATGGAGGTGATTGGCTGTGAGACCTGAGCATGCATTGCATGCATATGAACATAATTTTGTGGGCTAAATTATAATTTTGTGAAATTATTAAAGGGTTAATTAAATTAAATCTTTCATAGCCATGATGTGTGTGAGCGTGCATTGGGTATGTGGACCCTATTAGTGATGTATTAGTGATACCTATTTATAGAATTTCATGTGTGGAAAAATAGTGGGTCGATTTTGAAAGCACTTAAAAACTTGAGGGGACGCCAACATATTTATAAAAAAAAAAGAAAAGGTGAGTCATCTTATGGTTAGCTGGGTGTGTGTATGCATGTCGTGTGTGTGTGTGTGTATGCATGCCATGTGTGGGTGTGTGTGTAATTAATGGTGTAAAAGAGTGTGTGTGTGTGTATTTAATTTATAAAACAGTGTGTGTGTGTTCTTGCCTGTTAGAAACAGAGAGTGAGGGAGAGTAAAGGAGAAAGAAAAAAATATATGTGTGTGTGTCCATTTGAGCCGAGAACAAGGAAAAAGATAGGGAAGGAGAAATCAAGGGTTTGGAGGGGGTGTTTTAGTTTCAACCGAGAGAGAGGAGAAGAAGGTATATATGATTAATTTTAGTATATATGTATATGTGGAAGCTATTTTGTTTTAAAGTAGTGGCTATTTTAATTTAATTCATGGACTATTTTGATTAATTTTAATGGGCTATTTTAGTTTAATTTCAAAACATATTATTGTGAGTTTAAATTAAGTGTGTTAAACATAAATTAGTAGGTTGTTTTGTTTTAAGTTCAAAGCAAATTTTATTAAGGGTGTTAAACATAATTAAGGGACTATTAAGAATGGGTGTCAAATGGGTATTCAACCGAATGTGCGAAAAGTGAAACTGACCATTTGAGATATTCAGAAAGCTTTTAGTGGGCTAGGTTGGAACTGAAATTATGGGAGTGAAATGGGTGTTTTAAAGGTTCAATTAGGGGATGTTTTACATTGATTAAATGTGAATGTGAATTGAAGTGTAGCGGTCTTAAAAGAAAATAGCGATAGAGGTTGGAAATGGGTGCCGGTAATGGAAAAACCCTAATTTCTAAATGTTATTATCACATGTGTGAATTTTAATCCAAATGACCCAAAATTTTGCATGCTGCATTTTTAATGGTGCTTGATGTGATAATGTGAATTTCGAATGCAAATGAGTATAATATCCAATGCAAAATATATGAAATGCCGGAAGTGCAATTTTTTGAATTCGGTGTCGAAATGTGTGAAAATGGCCCCCAGTCAATGTGTTTGACCTACTTAATCCTAATTGTGATTAATGAGAGTAATTTTGGAGATTTGGGGAGAAAATGTGATCCCTAGAATAAAAGTGCTAGTGTGTGAGTGAATAGTGCAATAAACGGAGTTATCGGGATACTTTGGGGTGCATCATTTAACATGCATTAGTGCATGATTAATTATTAAATGTGATAAACATATTGATATTTAATTAGAAATATTTTAGGTGAAATGGGTGAGATAGTCGTTGTTGGAATAGATATGGTAACACCGAAAAGATCCACTGATAGAACCAAAGGGTCGTAGATTTGTATATTTGAGGTGGATATATATCTTTATATGTTCTGGAAATGCTATTATAGATAATAGTAAATGATAGAATTTAATAGCAATTCTCCAAGATTATGTGCTATGTGCTTATGTGATTGAATGATGTTTTGTACTGTGTATTATAAAATGTGGCACACTGTTTGAGACAAGGGCGTCGATGCCTGATCTTTGGGCGTGCAATGGTGTGTTAGTACTATGGTGTTCTTGGGAGATTTGGGAGACACGGATCCATGTGGGATGGATTACCCGATGAGGGGTAGTATGGATGTGATGTGACTTGTGAATTATTTGAATACTGGATTGATGCTATTGTTTGTTACGTGTATCTACATAGTATCTACCTACTTTAGTGTATTAATGTCATTTTCATTTCATATGCAACATGTATATTCACTGAGCGCATGGTTTAGCTCAGACCCCTATAGCTTCTCCTGTTTTTAGGTACCATAGAGGAAGATGCAGACCAGTCCACTGTCCAGTCAATTGATTTTTGTACAATGTTAGTGTGATATCACTTAGGTTGAGTGTCGGTATGACTAATTGCTGGGGTGTATATTATATTTGTGAGAGATTATTGTGACAGGTTATTAGTATATATTTGTAAATAGACTCAACAAGCATACTTTGTGATGTATGCTATGTGGGTGTGAGATTTTGTATATATCTATAACTTGGAAAACAAACAATTGGTATAGGTATTTTATATATGGTACAGGTTATAAGACAGATTTTATCATCGTGCTTAATGACTAAGGTGATGGGTGGTGTTGTTACACCTGTGGGGTTATTTAATGTTTGATTAGTCCAGTTTCTACGTATATGTAAACATGTGTTTCAAAAACCTAGTCGCATCTCATCTTTGAGAGACCGGGATGGGGGTGACAATTCAGTTGGTATTAAAGCTAAACTTTATGGTTCAATAGTCGAGTTGAGTCTAGTGTGATAATGGACTTATGGATTGGTCTATTTAGGTGGAGTGTTAGAGGTCCGTATGAGTGTGTGGAATATATATTGCATGCTACCATTACCCAAATGCGATACTCACATTTTGTTACAGTGATACATGGAGGGAGAAGGGTCATCTGCTCGGGCTGGAGATAGGGAAAAAGACCCCAGGTGGAGGAGGAACCAAGTGATCTGAAGTCTAGGCAAATGTGGGAGGCAGCACCTAAGTACTTTGAGCAACATACGATGCGAGTGAAAATAGTAAAGCCCAGGGGTACATTATACGAGCAGTTTAAAAAGCTTGATCCACCAATATTTACGGGAATTGTAGGTCCATTGGAAGCAAAGAATTGGTTATGACGCATAGAGAAGATATTCAAGGTGATGGGAGTTGGCGAGGAGGATAAATTATTATTAGCCACTTTTATGCTAGCAGAGGAGGCCTAGTATTGGTGGGAGGTTGAATCGAGGTTTCTTTGATGAATCATTGATCTAGATATAATTTATCATTCAGATTTGATCTCTGAGTTTTCTCTTCTGTCTAGAATTTTCTTCTTCAGTGAGTTGTTCATCCAACCTTAACCAAATCCCACCAAAGCCACCAGACCCTAATCTCAAAACAAAAGATTATCAACCAAAGTCACTAGAATCACAACCTATACAACCGTCTAATCACCAAAAACCAACAGAACCAATATCAGCCAACTTACCAGATTCACATCCTAAAAACCAACAAACTTATGCTTCTCTTTTAAGCAACCTTCTTATCAAGAACATCCAAATACAGTTCCAAGGATTGACAAGCCTGTTGTCTTTTATGAAGGAGAGCCTACTTTTTACTTTACTAAGGAAGAGATTCAAACCTCATGTTTGTCTCTACAGTATGCTCTTATTGGTAAATGTGCTTATGGTAGACCTTTTATAGTTGTTATAAAGGAGGTTATTTCATTCTAAATGGAGTTTGAAGGGTGGTTTTGAAGTGGGAATTATTGATCAGAGGCATGTTCTCATAAGATTTCAGCTACAAGAAGATTATGTTAAAGTTTGGTTGAAGGATGCTACATTGATTGAGGACTATCTATTCAGATTTTTTAAGTGGTTTATAGTTTTCGTCCCTGGAATTGAGCCTTCAGCAATCCCTATGTGGGTATCTCTACCGGAATTGCCATTGAACATTTTCAAGAGACAGTTCCTTGAGTTATTGATGAAGCCAATAGGCAAGGTGTTGGTTTATGATCAATCAACGTTATCCATGGCTAGGCCTGGGGTTGCTAGAGTTTGTGTGGAGGTTAATCTATTGGAAAATAATCCATCAAGGATTTGGTTAGATATGGGAGATGAAGTAGCAAGGTGGTAGAAGATTATCTATGAAAAAAGCAAGAAGTACTGCAAATCTTGCAGGAAGCAAGGCCATGGAGAAGATGACTGCCAAAGAAGAAAGGTTACTAATTTGGAAATTGATGATAAAGGAAAGAATCTAGTGTCGACTGATATGCAGACAGGAAAGGTAACTAAAGAGAAAGGAAAAAGGAAACAAGGTGCGCAGGTTGGAAACCCCATAATGCAAGCTAAGGAAAGAGGGTCTGGCTTTAGAAAGGATATAGATAATTTGAGGCAACCAAATTTGACTGTCAAGAATAAAGGGGTATGGATTCAGCAGAATAAGGGAGGAGAATTGAAAGATTTTACTACCAAAAGTGGTAGCAATAACACCGAAATTAATGCGGATGGGTCTTTGGAAATCGAAAAAGAAAATAGTTCAGACCACGTTTGGCGTAATAGCTCATTCGAGAATGGGGAATTATTGACATATCGGGAGAAGAGGGAGAGAAGGAAGTGGATAACGAAGTAATAAATATGCTTGGAGGGGAAGGAGCGAAGAACCTAGATACCGAATATGTTGAGCAAACATAGTGTAACTCTCGTGAACAATAGGATACAAGGACAGAATTATAGAGGCAAGAAGACAGTAATAAAGGAGATATGGAGATGGGGCAATATCTTTTGAACCAACAATGCTTGCTCTCAATGGACTCTACTTTTTTGGTGGAACACCAATATGACTGTCATGAGGGTGCATTGATCATTATGGATGATGAACGTGGACTGCATCGAACTACGGAGCCACCAGATAAGGGGTTTTATTCAGAAGATGAGCTTAACAGTAGGGGAGATGAAAAAGTGTTTAATAATTCTCAAGAACTGGATTCAGATGCAGACCAAAGGCAAGAGTTCTCTGGAGTAGGTATGGTTACTAGATCAAGGTCTAGTAAGATTTCTCAATCTAAAATCTTTTAATGATCAATATGATTACATGGAATGTGAGGGGGTAAATCAAGAGGCTTCTAGGATGAGGCTCAAGAAGTTAGTGATAATGCATGACATTTCTTTAGTCTGTATTTTGGAGCCAAAATTACCTCCTTCTAAAATGCATGGTTTATGTAGTAATCTAGGGTTTTCATCATATTTAGCTAATCCGTTAGCTGCAAAGTACAAATGGGTGATTTGGGATCACAGGATAAAGGTTTCCTTAAAATATGCCCATGAGCAAGCTCTAATAGTGGAGGTATCATACATGGGTTCATTGCCTTTTTTTTTTTTTTTTTATCTCTTTTGTTTATGCTAAATGTGAGCATATACAAAGAAGAGAATTATGGGCTCATTTGAATGGCTTACCAGTTTCTAATGCTCCTTGGATGGTGGTGGGTGACTTCAACACAATCGTCGCTTCAGCGGAAAGAAAGGGTAGTGCGGTTCCAAGTTTGTCAATTATGAGTGAGTTTATTGATTTTATAAACTCTATGGGTTTGCAAGATTGTGGGTATGTAGGCTCTACTTTTACATGGTGCAATAACCATAAAGGTAGAACACAAATGTGGTAGAGGCTGGATAGGGAGTAGGTGAGTGTGGAATGGAGAAGTAGATTTGTAAGTACTGTGGTTGAACATGCTGGCATAGTGAAGTCTGACAATTTGCCCATTAATTATTAAATTCTCGGAGATAGATTCTCAAGTAAGGATTTCTTATTTCAAATTTCAAAACATGTGGGTTGAGCATCCTAGATTTATAAAGTTAGTAGAGTTCTATTGGCTGGCAAATTATTCGTCTAACCTTGTTGAGAATCTCTTTTTGAAACTTAGAAATTTGAAGTTTCAGTTAAGAAGATGGAATAAGGATACTTTTGGTAATGAAAGATCAGATATAGAAGCCAATTACATGGCTTTGTTGGAAGTAAGGAAGGATTTGGAACAAGCTTTGAGGATTGAGGAGATATTTTGGAAGCAGAGAGCTAATGTAAAATGGGCTATGGAGAGAGAAAGAAATACTAAATTGTTTCATGCTATGGCTAAAAGTAAAGCATGAAGGAATAGGGTTTCTAGAATTAAAGATTCAAATGACAATTGGTTGGAGGACGATCAAGACATTGTGAATTGTGCTGTGAGTTATTATTCAGCTTTATATTCTACTGGAACACATGTTATGGAGGATGAGCTATTTAACGTTATCCCCAGGGTAGTGACAGAAGAGGACAATGCGTTATTGCTATCCAATATTACATTGGAAGAGATTAAGAAGACTATTTTTGCGATGTCTATTCATAGCACACCGTGACCAGATGGTTTTTCAAGACAATTTTTCCAGACTGCAATTAAAATGGATTTGTTATCTGTTGCAAATTTTTTTATTCAAGGGGGAGAAATTCCCAGATCTGTGAATGCTACATTGTTATCCCTAATACTGAAGAAGGAAAACCCAGTTTCTTTTGATGAGTTTAGGCCGATAAACTTATGCAATTTTGTGTATAAGGTTTTCACGAAGATTTTAGCTACTATACTTGGGGAAATTCTTCCTAAGATTATTTCAGAGGAGCAGCAAAGATTTGTCAAAGGGAGGAATATTGGGAACAACATCTCTATGGCTTAGTTTATGGTGAATGAATTGGATAGGAAAGTGGAAGCAGGTAATATCATTGTCAAATTGTATATAATGAAAGCATTTTTTTACTGAATACTTTAAGTAGTTTTGGTTTTTCTGCTGCATTCCAGAATGTCATTAGTAATTGTCTTCATAATCAGTTTGTGTCTTTGACTATCAATGGGGTTAGGCATGATTTTTTCCAGAAGACAAGGGGGACTTAGACAAGGAGACCCAATTCCTCCTAATCTATTTATTCTGGGAGAGGAGGTACTAAGCAGGGGAATGGTGGAGAGCTTTCAAAAAGGGCTTATTAAACACTTTTGCACAGGAAGAGGGGCAAGATTTCTTAGTCACTTGCTCTTTGCAGATGATACACTTGTCTTTTTAAAAGGGAATAAACAGTCAATGATAAATTTGCTAAAGTTTGTTAGAAGGTATGAAGAGGCGTCTGGGCAAAAGGTGAATAAAGGAAAGAGTTCTTTGTATTGCTCAGCTAAAATTCCACATGTTAGGCAGATTATGCTCTCGCAGGTGGCAAATATTCCTCTTAAACAGTGTACTCTATCTATTTGGGATGTCCAATTATTAAGGGAAGAGCTAAACTTATCTATTTTGAGGAACTACTCCAGAAGTTTCAAGCAAGGCTACAGGGTTGGTATACTAAACTCCAGTCGAATATGGGGAGGATAGTTTTGATACCATCAGTTTTAAATTCCATGCCAATACATTTGTTAACCTCATTAAGTTTACCTAAAGGTATTATTTCAAGAATGAATTCAATCATGGCCTCTTTCCTATGGTCTGGAAAAGCAAATACTAGAAAGAGGCATTGGTGTTCATGGAAGAATATTACCATGCCCAAGAAGGAAGGAGGCTTGGGATTTCATAAGTTTGAAGAGGTACAACAAGCATTTAGAATGAAACAAGTATGGGGTTTACTTTATAGGAAATCTCTGTGGGCTAAATTCTTTGTGGATAAATATTGTAATAAGGGCCATTTGATGAGGGGTCCAAGATATAGTTATTCTAATGTTCATAGAATGCTATATTCGTGGTTTGAGGAGGTTGTTAATAATTCGCTGAAGTTAGTAGGTAGAGGGGATGAAGTGGATTTCTGGTGTGATAACTGGTTACAATTGGGACCACTAATTCATAGATCTTCGTCTGCTCCTTTGAATTTTCCTTGTCTTTCTCAGGTATTGGTTCAAGGCAGATGGGACTTTAATATGGTGAGACAGCATATGGATGAACAACTTATACAGGAGGTGGTTGCTTTGCAAATTGAATTGACAGAGAGGAGGGATCAGCTTATTTGGCAACATACTACAAAGGGAAATTTCACAATTAAATCAGCATGGAACCTAATACGAAGTGTAGGTCAACTAAATGTTCAAGCTTCTAATATATGGAAACAGGCTGCACCTCTAAGTGCATAGCTCATTGGTTGGAAATTATTGCATAAGGTCGTACCTATGGATACTACATTTCAATCTATAGGGGTTGCTTGGCTAGTAGGTGTGTTTTTTGCTCTAATAATGGAGAATTAGCTGCTCATATTTTCATTAATTGTAAATATGCAATTTCTGTTTGGGAAGGGTTATCAGATCTTTTAGGCATCCAACTTATTTCTCGTGAAGGTCCTCTCACAAGGTTTTTGAGGTTTGTCAGAATTTATAGGAAATCATCTATAACTCATTCTTTGTTGAGAGGTTTATCTCTATTGGTCTACTGGCAGCTATGGAGGGAAAGATGTAGAAGACTTTTTGAAGATCAGAAGTTACATTCTTCTTCTCTGTTGAAGTCCATACACTTGTGGAGACTACAAGTACATAATATTAGTCCTAAAGCAAGGGATACAGAACATGATTTGATTTTATTAGATGCTATTAATGTGAAGAGACCTGGGACAATTTCAAGGCAAGTTAAATGGATAGCTTGGAGATTTCCAGAAGAGGGTATGCTTAAATTGAATATTGATGGAGCTTCAAAAGGGAATTCGGGGATGTCAGGAGGAGGAATTATTATACGGAATTCTACAGGGCAACTTGTTCTGGCAGGGTATTATTTTTATGGTCTTTGCTTTTGTGTGGAGGCAGAAATGAGGGTTCTATTGGATGGATTAATAATGATAAGGGATTTTGGATTGATGGAGTACTCATTTCTCATTGAGTCTGATTCTAAACTACTAGTGGACATGGTTAAGGATAACAGTCAGGCTTCTTGGAAATTCTGGAGTATTGTTCACCAAATTCGCTCAATTCTTAATAGTTTGGATTTTCAAATTCAACATTCTTATCGTGAAGGTAATACAATAGCAGATTCATTGGCTAACCAGGGTGTTTTGGCTAGAACCTCATCCACTTTCTCGTCTTCAGACAGCCTTCCAGTTACTACTAGACTCTTAATGTTACAAGGCAGGAGGCAAATTAGGAATTTATGACTCAGACATATAAGGACAGATCATTCAACTCACATAGCAAGATCTGAGGCAAATTAAATCTCTACGTTCTAAGGTTGTTTTACAGTAGATGATCCATATCTATATATGTAGACCAGATGTATTCACAGGCTTATTCACCTAATTGTCAACACAAATAGTCATGCAAGCAAAGAAGATCAAACCAATTAGCACAGTCCGTTAAACAGTCTCTTCCTTATTACATGCCTATCCCTATTCTAGAAAGAGGGATCTAATTTTTAGAAGCAAAGAAAATCAAGTGGAAACTATGGAAGGCACCTGTTCTTTTCTTTGAGTTCAAAGTCAAGGCTTCTGGTTCTCTTGGGACATCATCTTCAGATTACAAAGGATTGAGATATCAACAACATTGTTGGTTATTCATCTTCTTCGCTAGTAGTCTGCATTGGATACTTTCTGCTAGTGGTTTGGTGTTGGACTTTCTTTCTTTTGTGTTGCTTTGCAAGTCTTAGACTGGATTTGTTTTCTATGTTGATTAGTGATGGAGGAATATGGAGATGCTTTGTTCGGTCTCCCCTGCCTCATACATTTTTCCAGATAGCCTTACAGTCCCTAGAAGGACCTTTGGCAGTTGGAATATGGAGATGCTTTGTTCGGTTTTCTTTCAGTTGGAATTACAAAATGGCAGAATTAGTCAGATTTATTTTAGGAATTAGATTTTCTAAAATTATTTTTTATCTTATATTTCCACTTAAAATCATGCATTAGAATTTTACTAATTTCTTTTGAATTGTAATTAGATTACATCGAGGGGTAAGGTACATACGTCTCCCCTTAGCTAGGTGTAATTTAATCTTTAATGAATAAAATTTCCTCTCATCGTTGAGGTTTTTTTTTTTTTTTTAAAAAAAGTATTGGTGGGAGGCTATGGAGAGAGCATTGCTACTAGTGTGCACTAAAGGGAAGGCTAGTTCAGTTCCTGGAGTTCTTGCATGGCGGAATTTTACAAATGCTTTTGACAAGATTGGGCACATTGTATGGAACTGTCCTATGGGAGGACCAGGATTTGCTGGATCATGACGTTGCTTTTTATGTGGTGAGGAGGGACATATGCAGAGAAAATGTCCGCAGTATTCTACCCAGAGTTCATCGATGGCAGTGCATCTACGATGTCCCGAGGAACAATGAGTGGTAGAGGCCGAGGACGTGGAGGCAGTATTGGAGGTGGCACAGGAGGTAGCGGGGTTGGTGGCAGTGGACCGAGCAGACTTGAGGCTGGAGGTCGTGTCGTTATACTTACCCAGTGGGATGCTCAAGCGACCCCACATGTGGTCATAGGTATGATAACTATTTTTTGTCAACAGGCACGAGTACTTATAGATTCGGGTGCCACACGTTCATTTATATCACTGCTATTCTCCATGCATGTTGATAGACCACCTACTATGTTAGACTGTGGATTGACTATAGCTACTCCCACGGGTGATTGTGTGACGACTAGAGTAGTATATAGGGAGTGCCTAGTTCAGGCGGGCAATGGAGAATTACCTACAAATCTGTTACCTTTTGAATTCCAGGATTTTGATTTGATTTTAGGAATGGATTGGTTGTCTACATATAATGCCACTATTGACTATTTTCGTAAAGAAGTAGTATTTAGAATCCCACATGTTCCTTTGTTTCGGTTCTTTGAAGAGCGACGCCCTGAGCTGAGGAATTTGATATCAGCAATTAAAGCCAGGAAATTACTCAGGAAACGATGCTATGGGTACTTGGCTTATATGAAAGATACTTAGAGAGGTACTCCTGAATTGACTTGTGGTTAGTGAATTCGCTGATGTGTTTCCTAAAGAGTTACCAGGGTTACCAGTGGATCGGAGGTGGAATTTACTATTGAGCTTGTGCCAGAAACTAGTCTCATATCCATTACTCCATATAAGATGGCTCCAACTGAATTGAAGGAACTTAAAGTGCAATTGCAGGATTTGTTAGATTGGGGATTTATATGGCCTAGTGTATCTCCTTGGGGTGCACCAGTATTAGTTGTAAAGAAGAAGGATGACATTATGAGGTTATACATTGATTATAGACAGCTGAATAGGGTGACTATCAGGAACAAGTATCTATTACTACGTATCGATGATTTGGTGGACTAGTTACAAGGTGCCCGGGTGTTTTCAAAGATTGATCTTCGGTCAGGATATTATTAGTTGAAAGTAAGGGATAGTGATATATCGAAGACTGCTTTTTGGACCAGGTATGGACACTATGAGTTTCTGGTGATGCCATTTGGTGTGACTAATGCTCCTGCTGTATTTATGAATCTAATGAATCAGCTATTTCAACCATATCTTGATTCATTTGTGATAGTGTTTATCGATGATAAATTGATATACTCCCGTAGTGAAGAGAAACATATGCAACATTTGAGTATGGTACTGCAGACATTGAGGGATAGGCAATTATTTGCCAAATTCAGCAAATATGAAATTTGGTTGGACAGGGTTGTGTTTTTGGGGCATGTAGTTTCTGGTGATGGTGTATGTGTTGATCCAGCCAAGATTGATACTGTAATTAATTGGGAGAGACCGAGGACAGTGACAGAGATTTGGAGTTTTCTGGGTTTGGCAGGTTACTATCAGAGGTTTGTACAAAATTTCTCCATTATAGCTATGCCTCTAACCCAAGTGACTTGGAAGGTGTGAAGTTGGAGTGGTATGATAGATGTGAGCAGAGTTTCCCAGAGTTAAAGACTAGATTGACGACAACACCAGTATTGACCATTCCGTCAGGTAGTGATGGGTTCGTGGTTTATAGTGATGCCTCACATCAAGGGTTGGGTTGTGTGTTGATGCAGCACGGTAGAATGGTAGCTTGTGCCTCCAGACAGTTGAAACCACATGAGTGCAATTATCCTACCCATGATTTGGAGCTCGCAGCTATTGTGTTTGCACTAAGGTTGTGGAGACATTTTCTATATGGGGTTACATGTGAGATTTATACAGATCACCAGAGTTTAAAATATTTGTTTACCCAGAAAGAATTGAACTTGAGGCAGCGTCATTGGATTGAGCTTTTTAAGGATTATGATTGCAATATTCATTACCAGCCAGGAAAAGCAAATGTTGTGGCAGATGCTTTAAGCCAAAAATCATTAGATAGATTAGCTAGTTTACAAGTGATTTGGAGGGGTTTATTTGTGGATTTGAAATTTATGAGAATGCAGTTGAGGATAGGAGAGACTGCAACTTTACTTGCTATACTGACATTAAGACCAGTGCTGGTGGATAAGATCAAAGAGGCACAGTGGTTTGATCTCTAGATTGAGAAATTGAAGGAAGAGGTGAAGACTGATTTTATTATTAACAGTGCTGATGTTTTGTTAATTGCTTCTCGGTTATGTGTACCAAATAATGAATGGTTAAAAAGAGAGATTCTGGAGGAAGCACACAGTTCAGCATATGCTATGCATCCAGGTAGTACAAAGTTGTATCGTGGTCTGACAGAGCATTATTGGTGGCCTGGGATGAAACGAGAGATAGCTGAGTTTGTGGCTCGATGTTTGGTATGTCAATAGGTGAAGGCTGAGCATTAGAGACCAGCTGGGTTACTACAGTCTCTATCGATTTCAGAATGAAAGTGGGAGCATATCACTATGGATTTTGTGAGTAGTTTGCCCCGTACGCAGAAAGGACATGAGGCCATTTGAGTGATAGTTGATAGGTTGATGACGTCTGCTCATTTTCTAGCTGTTAAATGTCCTATTCTCTTAATAGGCTAGCTAGATTACACATTGATGAGACTATTAGACTACATGGTGTACCTGTGTCTATAGTCTCTGATAGGCATCCACGCTTTACTTTGAGGTTTTGGCCTAGCTTACAAACTGCTTTGGGCACTACTTTAAAGTTTAGTACATCATTCCACCCACAAATTGATGGACAGATAGAGCGTACTATTCAAATATTGGAGGACATGTTGAGAGCTTGTGTCATGGATCTTCGAGGTAACTAGGATAATTGTTTACCTTTGATCGAATTTGCTTATAATAACAACTACTAGAGTTCAATTGAGATGGCACCATATGAAGCTTTGTATGGGATGAGGTGTAGGACCCCAGTGTGTTGGAGTGAAGTGGGTGAGAGGAAGTTTTTGGGTCCAAAGATTGTGCAGATGACTGCTGATCAGATTAAAGTCATACAGGAGAAATTACAAAATGCATAGAGCAAGCAGAAAAGTTATGCAAATAATCGGCGTCGTGACCTAGAATTTGAGGTGGGTGATCGAGTATTTTTACGGGTATCACCCTAGAAAGGGGTCATTCATTTTGGTAAGAAAGGAAAGTTCGCTCCCAGGTATATTGGTCTGTACAACATTACAGAGTGAATTGGTGCTATTGCATACTAGTTGAAATTACTAGTGGAGTTGTCCATGTTGCATGACGTATTCCATGTTTATATACTATGGAAATACTTGCCTGGCCCATCACATGTGTTGACTTCAAAACCGATGGAGTTAGCCAAAGATTTGACTTATGTAAAGCAGCTGGTTCAGATTTTGGGTAGCAAGTATAAAATATTACACACAAAGACGATATCGTTGGTAAAGGTTTTGTGACGTAGTCACTCAAAAGAGGAAGCAACTCAGGAGACTGAGGAGAGTATGCAGGCTCAATATCCACATTCGTTTAATACAGGTAAGTAATTTCGAGGATGAAATTTTTATTAGTGAGGGAGAGTTATGAGACCCGATCACGCATTGCATGCATATGAACATAATTTTGTGAGCTAAATTTTAATTATGTGAAATTATTAAAGGGTTAATTAAATTAAATCTTTCATAGCCATGATATGTGTGAGCATGCATTGGGTATGTGGACCCTGTTAGTGATGTATTAGTGAGACCTATTTATAGAATTTCATGTATTGAAAAATAGTGGGTCAATTTTAAAAGCGCTAAAAAACTTGGGGGGAGGCCAATGATTAGCACAAAAACATGACATATATTGTGTGCTAATATGCCTT